TGTGATCAAATTATGTTATGTGACCAGCGAACATGAAATTAATTCGAAACTGATGGACGTGTTTCAAGGATTTCTATTCCAATCCTAATCGACAGTATAACGGAACACTCAAATCATGATTATATCAGACACATCCTTTCCGCTGTCGTTCCAGAAGGATCTGCTATCAGGAGACTTCCTGAGGCAATTCTATTGCAATTTTTGTTGTTGTATCAAATTTTTCAAATGCATTCCACATTTCATCATAACAGATCATGATCTGAACTTCACAATTACTTCTCCGGTATCTTCTTGAAAAAGAAGTACTGGATGTTATAGAAGATATTATACTCTAAGGTGAAACTCAAGCGATTGATGTGATTGATTACCATGTTGAATTTATCTTGTTCTATTGACATACTTCTTATCAGTAATCTTTATTGCTTCAGCCAACCCACCGACAGCTCTTTATCTTGTCGTATATTCATCCATACATCATTTATTAAATTACTGATGAATGTCCTTGACAACAGAATATTGAATATTTCTTTATTGATGACATTGTCGCTATGTAACTGTGGAAATGAGCGTTTTTGTCGATCTTCATTACTTTTTTTGAATCTGACCAAAAGATTCATCTATTCATTTTTATGGCTCTGTTTCACTTTCGTTTACATTTTTTCAATTCCATTTCTATTTATGTTCTCTACGACATTTTCGGCGTCTCATCAAACAATTAACATTCCTCACATTCCAAGCAAAACTTTTCATCTTGAACGGAAATCGAACTGACGATAACAGTCAAATGATCCTTGAATATCGTTGAAGCTATCGAGCGTGAAACGGTCGTTAATCTGCCTCATATCTGTTTGCATCTGCTCGATTCACGTTCTCATGTTTTCCTTGAACGCAATATTTATTCTGTCGTTTTGTTCGGATCTTTGAAAGCAATTAGTTTTGTGACTCAAATCCAATTAAATGATCAAATGGTCTTGAGCACGAGCGAGTTGATAGCTGAAACATCTGTGCGTTCATTAGGTGCGCTTTTGGCTCAATTTTATTTTTCGTAGTGAAGGGGATAAATAATTCATTACTTTGATTGTTTTGATGTTTACTCGATAAGCTTTTCGCTGTCTGTAACCAGCATTTTGATTATTACTATTATTATTGTTGTTGTTATTACGCTTTCTATTGTCATTATTTCTCCATTATCACGCCGTTATATTTCTACGTATCGGTCGCCATAGGTTCAAAATAAAACGAGTAAAATGCAGTGATATTATTCACTGCAAAGCTGAGCTTACAATCAATGAACTTAATGAAATTCAATTCATTCTTTATCTTTAGCCACAAGCTTCGTTCATTACTTGTTTCTCATTTACTCAAATTGTCTTCAAATCCAACTCAGTACGAGTTTATGCCTCTCTGTTATCACGAATATCACATTCTTCCTTCGATGGCATCCTTCTTTCCGCGCAGCTAACTATAATAGCGTTGGGAATCATCTATCTTCTTGAAATTCTAACTTAGATTATTGATTTGGCGAGCACAGAGGTTCGGGCTACTCTCCCATATTGCTGAATGATTTCTAATGTAAGGAGAATTAATTGTTTCATTATCATCAAATACCTTCTTCCAATGGATTTTATCCTTAAATCGCACGTTATGCAAGCAATTCGTGCTATAATGTTTTCGAGACCGAATCTTCATAAGTGCCGATGGCACCTTAAATGCATGATCTATAATTATCTCTTCGTTCGTGACTCTGATAAATTCTCAATGGTATTTATATGATTAGATAGTTGTACTGCTGAACACATTGTTGAATTTAGAGATTATTGACGAGCTATCGTGCAATTTGGGTCATTATCAATGTGAATATTCAATTGCAATGTTATCAATTTAACGCACCTTGTCAAAATGTCTTAATGTTAATGTGTCATCGATAATATATACTTATTTGACATCTATTCATATTTATAACTTTATTCGTGAAACTATCGAATGTTCTAGTGATACTGACCGGTAAAAAGGGGAGAACAATATCGAGTGTACTTAGAAAAATGTTTGAATGAACTAAATTTGTTTGGTTATTGCATTCATTGGTATTAAGATTCATGAAAGTTTGCGATTTTTTAAAGTTATTCTTCGGTGAATGTTTCAATAAATACATTAAATGAACCGTATTTTAAATTGCTTGATTAAAGTGTAATTCAGATAATGAGATTTTTTTGTGAATAGCGGAATATAGGAAAACAAGAGATTTATGAGGTAATTCTAAGCAATTTCGTATGAACACGTAAAAGTGCGATGAACATTTTCCTGTTTGGCGATTATGATCAAAACGTTTCAGTTGCTTCGAAGTATCCTAGTGACCAAATAAGATGCGAAATCGTATTGTGAAAATATCGTTCTTTCCTTCTCGCTTTCCTTTTCATCTTCCATCTAGTTGATTAGAACGTAAGAAAGGAAACACATAATCAAGCGATGGATGCACTTTTCATGCATTTCATCTTCAATTCTATCAGATTACACATTCGCAAAAAAAGAAATTATTTCCATTTGTAACGATGACCGTCTATCGAATTTCTAAGACTCAGAATTATTACAATATTGCGAAGATAGAATATATGAATTCGGTCGAGCAAAAATTTGGAAAGTATGCTGGAATATGCAGATTCCCTTGAATGAGCAGGTTGTTCATGATCGATGACGGTTCATATCGTTCTCTTATAAGAGAAATGAAGAGAATCTAGATACTGAATATTTCAAGTGCATTGATAAGTTGTCCCGATGAAGTGTTTTACTGTTATTGAGAGATCATTATTTCAGGACTCAGAAGGCGTTATAAGAGGTGCAACTTCACAACGGATCCCCTGCCCGTTCTCAGTCGCCTCTACAAGTAGCGCGCATCCATCTGTGATTCTAACGCAACCTGCTCAGGTTTCCGTTTTTCCGTCGTTTTTCCGATAAGATGCTGCTTTGTTAGAGATGTTCGAATCGAACATTTTTTCACTCTTTACGCTTCGGTATTAAAGAAGACGTAAGAAGTGCACTAAATTGTAAGAAATGATCAATAGGGTTGGTATCGTAAGAGCATCATCGAGATTGCTTCTTAAAGACTAATGGTTCTTGTCAATTTTGACCCTTCATACTTCAATTAAATACCCTTATTTTGTGAGCTTCTTTCCTCGTCCGAAATATTTCTTTAGAGGAAACGCGATCAACTCTACATTTCTGCGCGTAGGAATAAGTTCGTCCGTTGATATTCTCACCAATCTTGATTACATCTTATCGATAAAAAGTACAATTCAAACGATTGTATCATACACTCTTGATTCGTTATTTATTTGACCATTCATACTGTTTATCATTTACTTAATCATAGTTGTCTTGATTTTGTTCAAAGCATGTTGTATTTGTTCATGGAATTATATCGTGCTCGTCAACCTATGAAATTGAATAACCATTTATAAAATTACTTCTAAAAGTTGATAAGATTTGCATATGTTTAAAGCAGATTCATGTGAACGTAGTGTATATGTAAACTTGTGAGACTGGGTTTCTCTTCTGAAGCTTAGTGATACGATTTTTGATGAATATTCCTAGTTTATCAACATCGTTTATTAGACTGATATAATTACCATCAATCGCCGTCGGTAATTTCAGTACGGTTTCAGATGATTGTTGAATCAGTAAGCGCCCGACAGCAGCACAGTCTGCCTCCAGTAGGGGCTCGTACCACGTCGTATATTGCATCGTTGCCTACGCCATCCAGCAATTGTCCTATTCCAGTGCAGTTCGTTTATGCATCAAACGCGAACGGACAGGCTGTGCCCGTTCCGGTTGAGTTGATACAGGTGAACGTTTGAGGAGAACTTTATTTGTATAAGTTTTGTTAGGAATTTAAAGAGTTCAGGCTCAGTGTGAACTCTCCAATGAATCTGACCTTAAGACTGAATCTCACCCTATTTGAACTATCATATTTGTGTGATCTTAAGTGATTTGGACACGGTTGATCTATGCTCACAACATTTCAATGACAACTTCAAAGTTCGTCTATTTCCCTTATTATCGTCCAGTGCTGTCATCTTCCATGTTCATGTTTCAGTCTCCATCAAACCTCGCTGCTGGCATTCCATATGCGTATCCTGTACGCATGATATCACCTATGACGCTCAATATAGCACCAACGGTAAATGCTTTAATTTGTTTTGGTTTCCGTTTTGACAACTGTTCTTTGTGTTCCAGGCTGGCGTAATTCATTATAATGAAACGAGTTCAACCCATCTCCACTACTGAAACTCTGATTTACCTCTTAGTTTCATTTCTACAAACCCTTATTGAAAATTCGCTTGTGCTTGACGAATTTCGTATTTTTCTTAGAATGAGATTCTCCGAATGACATCATTGCATTGCATTGAATGTTTTGATATGGATATATAGTTATCATTTTTGGAGCGTTTTTAGACAAGTGCCGATGGTACGCATCACGAGTTACCTGTGCTGACTCCTTCCTCATATACAGAGCACTG